GGGGCGGCGACAGATGAACGGTAGCCAAGGGGAGACGAAAGTCCTGCATGACCAACGTGCCGTCCAAAGTCGCACACTGCCACTTGGCCTTGAACTTACAGCAATGTCAGCACGATCGGTAGATCGATTGACGCCCCACGCAAAGCAAAAACTTCACCAGTTGAAAGTCTGACGCAGTTCCAACTCCCTCACTCCACTGCAATTGCACTTCCGAAACTCGCTTGACCACCATCCACGAAACAGCGTCTGGGGTCTCTTCATATACCCGCCAATCACGTCTTATCTGCCCTGATGCGCTGGGTAAACACGGGGGCTGCATTGTAAGCTGTTAGGCTTTATCAGAAATGCACACCGATAACTGATGCTAACATTCAGGGTGCGATGGCAAGCCAAGTTGCCGGCTCACATCGGGCAAATTGCGATCCTTCCCACTCCCAGTTTTTGTTGTTGGTCAAAATCCTGGCCAAGTGCTTGTTTTGGATCAGGGGGCACGTCGAGGTGCGGGTCCGGCCGTGTCAGCCACCTGCTCCCTGTCCTCCCTCCGGTCTTCTTGACTCTGTCTTGGCACAGGGTGCAGCTGGGGAAGGAGGAGCGAGTGTGGCAGACGCTGCGCAAGTCTACTATCGCTACAAACTAAATCACGCGTAAATCACCGTGCCCGTCCTCATCCCGCTGTGGAGCACACGGCTGACAGCATCGGCCACCACGGTCGAATTCTGCTGGTACTGCAGCAGGGCATTCGGGTGGTGGATAGAATGCACATAATCTCTACGCAGGAACCCACCCGGTCACATGCGTAAATAAGAAAACAACAAGCATCACACTTAAAGAGGGAGACACGATCGTTGGGACATGAGCTTTATTTGCCTGACATTTCGGGTTCCTGCTCGAACCCATCATCCGAGACAAAAACAGATACGGGTGGTTCATGCATAAGGGGCTGCAGTATAAATAGGATGCAGTCGCTATGCTGCTGCATAGCTATGAATACTCACGGCGCACCCTTCCCCCCCCCCTCATTAGCGACCGCTGCACTTGGTATGATAACCGTTTGATGGCCGACGTTCGCGTCGCTGATTGCTGCAATTTCATCACGTGCGTTGGATGTTGGTGTAATGCTTACTCGACCATCTAACGAACTGACCCTGGTGTTGGGGAAAGTGTTAACCTGTGCTCTCCTCGTGTGGCTAATTACTTCGCCTAGGCGAAGTCTTAGCACCGAGAATGGGAGGGGAAGGTCATTGCACGTGTTAATGGACTGGGGACCAGTAAACCATGATTCAAGTAGCTCCCGGCTCACGCGGTTGTCACCTCTTGCGAGAATTTCGGCCTCTTCTATTCGCTTCTAGAAGCAGCACACTGCATAACATTCATACAGCACCCACACGACATAAATTGTTAATGTTAGCACAACGGGCACCGTAAGCGTCAATATGCCCATCTCATTCGCATGAAAAGCGTGCTATTAAGGCAATTCCGATCATGTGCAGTGGAGAGGTAGCCTGTGTGTGGCACCCGACAGACGGCGACTTTACGTCAAGTCGGCTACTGCGCACATTCGTTTGCACAGTCGACTTGGCTCGGTGAGACCGCTGATGCGTGGAGATGGGACGAGAGAGGCCGATACGGGAGAGGAAACCCACCTATGTTTCAAATCGGTGCATTCTTCGGCAATAAACAACCTTCAACGCCATCAGTAGGGGCTTGAAAGGCTGCCAGTTCACAGGGTGATCCGGCTCTATCCGATAATGACTGGCAGAACACAATGGATCCTGCATAATGCGATCTGCACGGTACTCTCAATCACATAACACGAAGGAAAACTCTTTCAGAAAGCCCGGTACGTGTGGAGGCTTAGAGAGAAGATCTTTTGTGGCATGTCTCCACGGGTGTTTTAGTCTAGTTATGTTCACCTCCGGTCGTCCGGACTCTGTTATACACGGCAGGTATTAAGAGAGATAGTGAATTAGATGCTACGCAAGCCCGCTTCATTAAAACAAATTCGTCCGTAAGACACCCCTGCGTCCACCTCGCGGAGCAGCAGTGGATGCCGTCGCTTGCGCCAGTTCATTTGGTAGCAGAACAGAGTGGTGAACCTGCGACAGTATCCAACTGGATTTGGCCAGCATCCAACAACATACGATGCGTGGGCTATCCTCCGCCTACGGATTCGCGATGCGACTTGAAACAACCTCTCGAGTGTTTATGACGCAATCCAATCACGCGGAGAAGACGTGAAATGCATCTTAAAGTAAGTTCATAAGGCTTGTGCAAGCGGTCTCGTGATTTCTTGCTCTCAACTCCCAGTCGGCTTATCGCAGGTCAGAAACGGTCAAATTTTGATCGACGTCGTTTATACCCAGAAGAAGATGCGATCACAGGAACAAGAAGTTTATTAGACTGGTGCTTTGGATTCTTACTCGGACCCATCATCGCAAACAGTCGAAGATAGGGGTAATTGGGGCACAAAGACTGCAGTACTTATAGTACGCAGCTGTCGTCGCCCGTTTCGTTGCAATGAGTTGCTGAATTGCTATATCCTCGACGGGTACTGAGAGCCAATGGCTACCGAAGCAACTTTATTAGTCAGTGCATGCGCAAACAAAACCGGAGACCAAATGCAGTCGGCCCTAGATTCTGGCAGGCACTTTTGTACATGAGAAGCGTCTCAGAAGTGGTCAGTCGCTTTCGCACACCACTTGGAGTTGGCCGGAAGCAACCATTCTGCGCCAACTCACGAGGCCGAGAAGCCCCCTGCCACAGCAGGAAACGCCTGGAGCCGTTTACAGGATCTGGTGCAGTCGGATACAGGCAACTACGTCGGAGAAACTGAGACACTGCTCCGGACGCGAATGGCCGAGCACGCAGCAGCAGTGAGGAGGAAAGGCGCTAGCCCTCAGGTAGCAGCTCACCCCACGGAACCCGGCCATATTTTTAAGTTTCAAGAGTTCGAAATCCTCGCAAGTGATGGTGACAACCGCGTGGTCCGCGAGCTGCTTGAGTCATGGTTCTTAGGTCCTCAATCCATCAACAAACACAATGACTTCCCGTTAATGTATTCTGCGCTGAGACAATCCCTAAGCTGGGGAATCGGTCCTGTGGGGAGGGCGCGGGCGAGCAACAATCCTAGTGGCAGTGGGCCAAATGGTCGAGCAACCATCACGTCAACATCCATCACAGATTGTGAAATTGAGGAGATTAACGACTCAGACGTGGACTGACGAGCCACTATCGCCTCAATTACGACCCCCCGATGGTGATCGCGAGAGCTCTTAATTAAGGTATGCATGTGGCTCCATGGCGGCTACGTACTATAAATACTGCAGTCTTTGTGCCTCCACTACCTTTACCTGCGACCGCCTCCAGCGACGGGTTTGAGCGAGCATCCGAAACGTCGGGTCAATAAACTTCCTGTTCTAGTGATGGCAACTCCTTCTTCTTCTTATCCTTCTTCTTCTTCTGCTTCTTCTTCTTCTTCTTCTTCTTCTTCTTCTTCTTCTTCTTCTTCTTCTTCTTCTTCTTCTGAACTGCTCCCTGGAACTCGCCTGTTCGCTTCTATCGGCAATTAGACCAATCACGACCAGATCCTACAGAGTCAATGTCTGCGTGTTTCCAAACGTGCCACTGTGATAGACGTCCGCAAATTACCCTCTGGCTGGGTCCTTCTACGAGAAGAGGATGATCTCATTAAATTTTGGCCAAAATTTTGAAATGAGTTTTGATTAGGAAAGGTTACTTGGATGGGGTTCTAATGTTGACTAACCTGCCGCATTGTCTTATACAGACTTGCCAAAATGTTTGCTTTTGAATGCACTTCTTTGCGACCTCCCGTATAAACTGCACTCGGTAAAAAATGGTTACTTAAGTAGTATCCATTAATCACATTGATTTTCGATGGCCTTCCAAATCTAAACATCGTTTATGGGGAACAGGCAAGAAAATATGCTGTTTCTCACCCAGTTGGTGGCAACTCGTGTCATCTTTGCATCTTATGCCCGAGGAACGAGTACCTTCCGGTTATGAAGAAGTTTTCTAATTCCCGTAAAATTTTGAGCCAGATCGGCCGTTGCGCTAGCCTTCAGCAATTTCAGTCGGCAAGATTTATACGTTCCAGTTGCGGAAAATCATATATTCCTCTATGTTTTGTAAGATGAGTCCATGTGCGGACTGTGTTGCACACTTCCTGAGGAGCATTAATAAACAGCCAGGTACGATGTAGTATGAATGAATAGTGCACGGTTTTAAAAATTCTCATAATAAGAAATTTTTTAAAATCGAAGAGTACTCCTTTTTTTAGTATAAAGTGCGAAGACAACGTGAGCTGTTACCAAACTGGCGCGTGTTTTCAACGCAAAAATATACTTGAACTTGGAGGACCACCGAAAATCACTGTGAAGAATGCATGCCCTTTAAGTAGCCATTTTCTGCCAGGTGCAGTTTTACAGGAGGTCGAAAAGAAGTGCATTCAAAAGTCACTATCCCAACAAGTCCGAAGTAATACAAGACCATGCGGCAGGGCAATCAACATTACAACCACACTTAAGTAACCCTTCCAAATCGAAAACGCATTTCAGAATTCCGGCTAGCCTTTCATGAGGTCGGTCACTGAATGTAGAGCCTCTCGAAGACTCCCCTGGCCGGACATGATGGACATGTGAAAGAAGTAAAACTGCCACAGAATTCCAGAAGGAGTTATTTCCTGCCCCTGCTGGGTCTAGAAGCAAAAAATCTCCATAGCCTAGATGCTTCAATTCCCTACAGAGACAGTCTCAAAGTGGCAAAAGTCCTCCATGCCTAACTGAATATAGGCGGGGTCATGTGCCCGAGACACGAGATATCAAGAATATGAATAAAAAAATATCATTACCGTTCCAGCCCCTTGTCTTTATCCGTAACCGACAGGGCAACGGTCTCGTGGCCCAGTGGTTAGAGGCGTGGACTTCTAACTAACGGGTCGCGAGTTCGAGCCTCGGGTGTTTCACACTTCGGATAAACAAACAACTGGTTCTAACGATCGCCCACCTGTCTCCTTCTATTCAACTGGATAGACCGCGAGTAGTTTCTGTCATTCGGAATATATATGTATACATGTAATAAATCAGAGGTGGTATACATTCCGAGCAACTATGATAAAGAAGGAAGAGGTTTTCTGAAAAATAAATTGTACTCGCGCCACATTGAGCACACTTCTACCATACTTTATATCCTCGATATGTGTATATACTACATTAACAGCTCACTAGGAGTGCAACAAGCCAGATTCAGACAGCTGTTTCACGGCCGTCGACGATCATCAGTACGTCGTAGGCCGTTTGAAGTGAGGTCTAAAACATGTCAAGTAAGTGCTTGACCCCCACTGTTGTACCCCTCGTATCATATGTGGTATGTGTCTTATGACACAACGTTCGTTGTCGCCAGTAGCAAGTTAGCAGGCGGACAAATGGGATCGAGTAAGATCATGACCACAACAGTGAAGGTCAAACGCTTACTTGACATATATATATAATGGTAGATGGCGCTCACCGATCGTTCTTACGGAACTCACTCGTTCCGTTGTGCCTTATGGACTCTCCCTCGAGCCCAACCAGCAGCCGTACAGCGGCGCATGATATATGGGCAGAATGGCATTACCGACAAAGACAAGGGAGACTGGAATGGCCATTTCTGGCTTGTTAGCCGTCGTCAGCCAGCCATATCCAAGCCCGAAGTGTTGAACACTCGAGCCTCGAACTCGCGACCTGTTAGTTGGAAGTCCAAGCCTCTATTCACCGGGCCACGAGCCCGTTGCCCTGTCGGTTTTCTATCGGGAATATACAATGCTAAGGGGCGCTCACCGATCGTTCTTACGGAACTCACTCGTTCCGTTGTGCCTTAAGGGCTCTCTCTCGAGCCCAACCAGCAGCCGCACAGCGGCGCATGATATATGGGCAGAATAGTATTGCCGACAAAGACAAGGGAGACTGGAATGGCCATTTCTGGCTTATTAGCCGTAGAGGCGTGGACTTCTAAACCAACAGGTCGCGAGTTCGAGGCTCGGGTGTTCCACACTTCGGACTTGGGTATGGCTGGCTGACGACGGCTAATAAGCCAGAAATGGCCATTCCAGTCTCCCCTCTCTTTGTCGGTAATAACATACTGTCTATATCATGTGTCGCTCAGCGGCTGCTGGCAGGGCTTGAGAGAGAGCCCCAAGGCACAACGGGACGAATGAGATCAGTAACAGGATTGATGAGTGCCCTCCACCACTGTATATTCTTGATCGCAAATGACAGTACAACCAGACCGTGGCGTCGGGCTTCTATCGAACGGGTCGCGGGATCGAACTCCAGGTGTTCCACACCCCGCAGTTGGATGTGACTGGCCGACGACGGCTGATAAGCCGGAAATGGTCATCCCCGTCCGCCTTGTCTTTGCTGGTAATGCTATTCCGACTATGAACTTCTTTCAGTTGCGCATCGCATCGTCAACTCGTTTGCCCTGTCAGTGTGTGCTCCACTCGACATAAGCAATTATCACGCAGAGGTGGTGCTTTACCGGTCCAATTTCAGTAGAGAAAACACAAGACCCCACATGGCCTGGAATACGCACGATCAAAATTAAGATCTCACCACCCGAGGTTGGAGCATGGCCGACTTAAAACAGCAAAAAGCCCAGAAGTGATCAGTTCAGCCTCCCTCCTCATTGGTGGAATCCCTTATCCAATCAAGTCTACTTGTGGTCGTTCTATTTTCTAACCATAGATGTAAGACCCGAAACCACAACCTGATTAACGTTATTCATGCGTGTTTGGCGCGGATAGTCAGCTGCAGTAAGTGGGCTAACTCAGGAAATCGCGACAGAAATTCCGGAATGCGTTTTCGTTTCGAAAAGATGAATTAAGTGGGCTTGTAAAAACAATCATCGTACAGCATGATTCTATAATAATTCAGTTACCCGCAAACTCCGGCTTTCGAAAAAATTTCTTTCCTGCTGCATCTAAAAACCATACTCCTTAAAAAATGATTACATAAGTAGCATGCATTTTTTCATTGATTTCCAATACTCTTAAAGATTCAATTATATTTCATGGAAAACAAGCGTGAAGATATTTATTCACTCGCCCATCCTGTAGAAATTGACGTCTTCTTTCAATTGTACACTGGCAGGAAGGGCATAATTTGGTTTTATAAAACTTTTCCAATTCCCGACTAATACTGAACCCGAACTGCCGTTGCATTAGCATTCAGAGTTCCCCAACTACAATCTGTACAATTTCCACGTGCGGAAAACCATACACTTCTCTACGCTATTAAAGGAGACCATATGGAGTTCGTAGAATTTAGCAGTGGGTATGAGCCACATTGTTAACTTCACAAGCCAGGTTGTTACATGCAGAGACATGACGTTTTATAAAGGGCCATTTCGCGGTATTAAAAAATCTCACGATTCGAACCTTTTTTAAAACCAAAATATACCCTTCCTTCGAGTGTAAAATTGAAAGAAGATGTAATTTTCTACTGACTGAGCAAAAGAAGGAATATTTTCTATGCATGTTTTCAATGAAATATAATTACATCTTTGAGGGCATCGAAAATCAGTGAAAAATGCATGCTACTTAAATGATAATTTTTTACAGAGTATAGTTCATACATGCAGCCGAAAAAAAGTTTGTTCGAAAGCCGGCGTCCGGGGGTAACTGAATTATTATATAATTATGCTGTACAACGATTGTTTTTACCACCCTACTTAATTAATCTTTTTGAAACAAAAACGCATTTCGGAATTTCTGTTGCGACTTCATGAGTTAGCCCACCTACTGTACATAGGCTGGTATGAAAGACAGTCATTGATGTATGCACGTTGAGGCCAGGTTTGATCTCGGACTCTACGCAGAAAGTCACCACCGATAGTCTGAGTCCGATAGAACCGAAAGATTCGACGTTCGTAGCATACAGAAGGAACAATCGAGAAACGGCCTTGTCAACAAAAGGGTAACTAAGTAGTTAGAACCATTTCTGGCGACGGAAAAACCGACAATGGCATAACCAGTGACAAGAGTGCCTATACATGCCAAACTGGCAATCCTAAAAATCAGTCGCGAAGAACTAGATGCAACCGCTGAAAGCAGAGCTTGGCTGTTCAGATTCATGCTCGAATCCATCACCAGAGACTGCCTCACATGCACGTAATTCATGCATATAGGTTTGCTGTATTTATAGGATGTAGTCGTTAGGCTATCGCATATCTACAGTACGTGGGCCAACTCATGAAATGTCAACCGAAATTCCGAAATGCGTTTTTGTTTTGAGAAGATTAATTAAGTTGGGTTGTAAAGCTAGTCAGCCTAGTCAGTTGTAAAACTAATCATCATGCAGCATAATTCTATAATAATTCAGTTACCTCAGAATGTTAGCTTTCGTAAGAACTTCCTTCCGGTAGCGTGAAAAAACTATACTCGGTAAAAAATGACTACTTATGCAGCATGCATTTTTCTCATTGATTTTCGATTCCCTTAAAAGGCCAGCTATGTCTCGTAAGAAACATGCATAACAATATTCATTCCTTTGTTCGTTTGCTAAAGAACTACGACTTCTTCCAATTTTTACTTGAAGAAAGGGGATATTCCGGTTTAAAAAGTTTCTGATTGTGAGATTTTTTAATACCGTGAAAATGCCGTTCATAAAACGTCATGTCTATGCATTTACCAAAGTGACTAGTAAAGCTAACAATATTGTCCAAATCCACTACTAAATTTTATGGGCCACATATAATCGCCTCTTAATACCACAGAGGAATGCATGGTTTTCCGTAAGCGGGAAATGTACGACTAGCAGATTTGAAACCTTGAATGCAAATGTAACGGCAGGTCGGATTCAAAATTATTCGGAAATTGGGAAAGTCTTTGAAAACCGAATTATACCCTTTCTTCGAGTATAAAACTTAACAGAAACGAACATTTCTAACGAATGAGTGCTAAGATAAATATTTTTATGCATAATGGTATTACCGACAAAGACAAGGGAGACTGGGATGGCCATTTCTGGCTTATTAGCCGTCGTCAGCCAGCCATACCCAAGCCCGAAATGTGGAACACCCGAGCCTCGAACTCGCGACCTGTTGATTTAGAAGTCCACGCCTCTACCCGCCGGACCACGAGTCCGTTGCATGCTTTTCATGAAGTATAGTTGAATTTTTAAGGGCATCGAAAATCAATTAGAAAAATGCATGCTACTTAAACAGCCATTTTTTATAGAGCGTGGTTTTTTGCCTGCAGCCGAAATGAAGTCCGTTCGAAAGCCAGTATCCTAAGGTAACTGAATCATTATAGAATTATGCTGCATGGTGATTAGTTTTGCAACACTACTTACTTAATCTTTTCGAAACGAAAACGTTTTTCGGAATTTTGACTGACGTTTCATGAGTTAGGCCACCTACTGTACGAAAGCAATGCCGTCCCTTTCATCGGGAATGACTGTCCTTGATGCTATACTTGCATAATGGCCGGCATTCGAGTGGTTATCCTGTGCAATTTTATCACCCACGATGGGTATTGGCGTGATGATTATTTAATCATCTGTCTCACTGGCACTGGCGTTGTTCGTTTGGCTAAGTCCTCTATTCACACTATGTCTTTGAATCAGATATGGGAGGGAGAGATTATTGCACTCTTTAACAGACTGGAGGACGTTAAACCATGGCTCAGGCCGCTGGCGGCTCTTGGTATCGTCATTTGCCGAGAGAATTTCAACCTCTTCAAACTTGAATGTGTTGATGGGTCCCGTCAAATGAAGTGCTGCGTAAGGACTGTTGTCATTTCCTCGCCAATGTTGCATGTTGTCATGCTGATTGCTCGGCCACATAGCGCGACGGCCTGCGAGCTCCCCAAGTGGCTAAGTGCTTTGGTCAAACCGAATATAAGGTGGTGATGTCATTGCACCTGTTGATAGACTTGGGCCCCGCGTACCATAACTCCCGCAACTCGCGGATCACGCGTTTATCACCTCGCACGAAAATTTCAGTCTCATTGAACTTGCATGTGTGGCTGGCTCTCGTCAAATGGGTCGTAACTTGAGATTTGGCGTCATTTCTCCGCACTGCCGCCGCGTGTTCGGTCATCCGCCTTCAGAGCAGTCTCCCAGTTTCTCCGACGCAGTTACTTTGTCCGCAACTACACCAGATTCGGTCGACGACCCCAGATTTTTCTTGCCGTGGCAATGCGTCTTTTGGTCTCATCATCTGACGCCTAATGGTTGTCTGCGGTCTGTGTGCGACTCCAACTCCAAGTGGTGTGAGAAGGCATCTGACAGCCTCCGAGACGTCCTTGACGGCCGGAGGCACTCACCACAATTTTGGGTCGGTGCGATTTTGTCGTTCGTCTGGTGTGCATATGCGTCAATCAGTGAGGTTTTACGGGTAGCCATTTGCTCTGAAAACCCCCAATTTGGAAGCCGTCTCTTCGTACTAAGTGCATCGCGTCTCAACACGCCGACGAAGTCTACTTACTCCATTGTGTCCGTGACAGCATTTGCGGTGTATTTGTCACTTTCTTGAACGCTTTAGTCTTTACACCACCACCACCACCACCACCACCACCACCACCACCACCACCACCACCAGATTTGCTGCAGCCGAGGTCACCTAGGTAGACAAGCCGGTTGTTTTCTTCCCTTTCCATCGTAAATTTCATGTCCAAGAAGATGGCATTGAGATGTTTTTTGAATGTCCGCATTTAAATATCGAGCCCAGAATTTCGGTCTATGGTGTTGAAAGACCAGCGGTCCCAGCTGTTGTAGGAACACCTCAGATATAAGTCCCGAAATAGGCGAACACATTGATATGCCTTTCATGTGCTAATTGATTGCTCCATCACACATGACGTACGTCCTGAATCAGAAATTGAGGAACCAAGAGACTTGGGCATATCCAAGGCGATTCTCCCTTTCATAATATTTTCTTTGGAGGGTGAGGACAGGTTGCGTAACCCCACTGGGTTCGATGTGCATAATTAACTACTTCATTTATTATAGTACAGAAGTGTAATTGCGTTTCCTTTTGCTGTTGATTACACACGCTTTGACTTATTTTCCTCTTCAATTATACTTTTGCCTAGTCCCTCGCATAAACAATAACAAAGTCATTAAATTTATTTAAGTTTATATACAAAATTTTATTTATAAATGGTCGTTAAATTGCCTTCTGGAAGGAGTCCTTCGGGTCCCTTGTTCGGGAAGTCCTTGCAACAGATATGTTTTTTGTAGTATGCGAGAAGAATATTTCCTACGCTTGCTTTAGGCCAGTGCTGTCTAATTCAAATCACAGATAATATTACCCTCGTCCACGTGGACCGATATTGCACGACCTGACATCGGTCCTCCTTTGTTGATCTACCGTTTTAGTATGCTCCAATAGGCCTCAGTCGTATTTGTGTGTATTCATGTGGTCGGATCCTTAAAATGCTTGGCATGATTAACGATAAAATTCTTACTGCCGACGAAGTAGGTGTCCAAATTGGCAGTTTGCCGCATTACGTAGCAAACCCCCTTGTCCGGCAGTATTCCACAACCTTCTCCGAGTTTATAGCTTCGGTTATTTCTTCCGCTGTCCTCGAAAAATCCAGCTACGGTTGTCCGACGTTTCTTCGACCTGGAAATTGGCATTGTTAGCTACTTTGTTTATTAACACATTTCCTTATTGTACATAGCATTTAAATATGCATTGTCGCTTCCTGTAGTTTTTATATTACAGTCACAAGGTGTTTTCTTATACAGACACAAATAGGTGTTTACATTTACGTTATTTAAATTTGGTCTTGCGGAGTAATCCCATATTATTTCGGACTCGGAAGGATGTAAGCTTTTGAATGCACTGATTTTCAATCTTCTGTAGAAACCTTACTTAGAAAAAAATGACTACTTAAGTAGCATACGTTTTCTCATTGATTTTCGATGGTCTTGCAAATTCAAATATATCTCATTAAAACCACGGACATAAATATGCTTTCTTTCCGCCTTTTGATAGTGAGTCACGTCTTCTTTATAGTTTATACCCGAAGAAGGAATATAATCTGGTTTTAAAAAGGTTCCTGATTGCCGAATAATTTGGAGCCTGATCAGTCGTTGCATTAGCGTTTAGTAATTTTAGTCTACAAGGTGCATGCGTTCCGCGTAAAGAAAACCACATATTCTTCTAGTCCTTTAAAGATACACCATAAAGAGTGCATAAAATTTTGCAATGAATGCGGGCCATGTTGTAAATTTCATGAGGAACTGTGGTAAACGGGCAGGTACGATGCTATATGAGTGGAGATTGCGCGGTCTCAAAAAATCTCATAATAAAAAACTTTCTTAAAACCTACTTATACTCCTTCTGGAGTATAAAATGTAAACATGACGTGATTCTCTATCAAACGACTGAAAGCAAGCATACTTTTATTCGTGACTTCTATAAAATATATGTGCATTTGCAAGGCCATCGAAAATCAATGGGAAAATGCATGCTACATAAGTAGCCAATTTTTACCAAGTGAAAGTATATTTTCAAAGCTACACTACTTGGAACTTGCTGTTGTTCTTTCCCACTGGTTTGTCGTTGCACTGATGGTAAGATGTGGTTATGTAGCCCCACCTGATAGACACAATGCTGTTGGGGTTGGGGTTAGGATTAGAGGTTAGGGCCAAGGGTTAGGGCAACTATTTCTCAACCACTCAAAGTGCAGTCGCGCATTCCCAATAGCTTTTCTTTTACATTCAACGGCTTGACCTCGTCGTCCGTGAGTTCCTCCGTCCCACCTGTAAAAACGCCTATTATCACCAGTCCCCTATTACAGGTGGCTGGGTTTGATTACTTCAGGTGGGGCTACATAGCCACATCTGACCATATCGGTTCCTGACCTGCTCCGAATTCGCAAGTGCCGGTTTATCCGAATACGTTTTATTTATTGGAAGTTGGTCATTATTTAAGTGACACGCTCAATTCGTTGCTACATTTAGGCGTGGAAGAAGAATCTCAACGAAAATCTATTTATATTTTATGTTTTTATTGCATCCTTTTCGTTCCCCCTCCTCGGTGATGCCCCACCGTAAAACCCCTATTATCATCATTCCCCTGCTATGGGGACCTGAGGTTACTGGTTAATGCGTGGGGTTGCACAACCTACCGTTGCCAGTTCATATTTCTTCCGACCACAGCGCAGCGGAGGGAAGTGATGCTAAAAATGCGACAGTGCCACTAAACACAGGACAAAATAAATCCTCGAAAAAAGAGGTAAACCGAGCGCCACCTCGAACGGTCAGGGCAACCACGGTGAATGTAACGAAGCCTGACAAATCGCTAGCGCATGAGCTGAAGTGATGTAAAAGCGTCTTTTTCCTTTCAAGATGTATTCAGTCCTGATTACTCGCAAAGACCGTCCATTCCTGTGAAGCATGGTTTGTCATGTGACGGTAAATGGATAGTTTTGACAGTCATTTTTCCTCAGCACAATGACTTCAAAGGAATTAAAATCACAAAACACAATCCCGAAAGGTCGTAGCCGCTGACTGGCTGCTCGTTTCTGATGGGCGGGAAAACGCCAACAATGTGGGCGATGACAAAGCCCAGTCGTCCTTAACAGAACCGACAATTTGCCTGTCTTTAGAGATGCGACCTGCTTCTTACGAAGGCCGCAGCGAACCCCTTGTCTATTCTGCAGAATAATCTCCTAACGACACTATCTACCAAAGGAAAAGTAGGTGGATGGGGGAGGAGGAGAGTAATTGTGGTTAGACTGGCTTATGGCCATCCCTCCCCCACTACCCGCCGCTCCGCCTCGCCCCGCCGGGCCCCCAGGATGGCACTTGTTGTTGGGACGAGGTAGATGCGATCTCTGGCACAAGAGATTTATTCTCATGACTTTCGGGATTCACGCTCGGACTCTCTCATGACAGACAGTACCGGATACGGATAATTCCTGCATATGAAATTGCGGTTTCTGTAGCGTGCAGCCACCGTACTACTACTACTACTACTACTACTACTACTACTACTACTACTACTACTACGATATGCCTATGACAGTTGAAGACTCTCTCTTCATCGAGGATGGTTCTCCTTTGGTACGCTGATTACTTGCTGTTAGGCCTGAAAGTCGATAACCGCTAAAATTTCATTGTTCGTGTTGGATGTTGGCATGGTGATCGCTCGGCCACCTGACTCACCGGCCTGCGCGCTCCCTGATTGACTACTTACTTTGCAAAGCAAAATCTCAGCACCGAATATGAGGTTGGGAGGTCATTGCACTTGTTGATAGACTGGGTTCCCGTGAGGTGACAATGGCCGAAGCAACCCGCTTCTCACGCTATTGTCACCTCCCGCGAGAATTTCGGCCTCGAACGTGGAGTTTGAGTCGCGCACAAACCGGATGCAGCTATTAGGTGTTAGGTGACGAGGCAAAAAAGCCCACTGCCACGGCAAAAAACAGCTGAAGTCGTTTATCAGATCCGATGCAGATGAGGGTCAGGCAAATACGTCGGAGAAAATGAAAGACTGCTCTGGACGCCAATAGCCGAACACGCGGCAGCAGTACGGAGAAATAACTCTGCACAAAACCATACCTACTGTTGTATTCAGCTGCCATGCCAGGCACTGCGGTTACCCTAGTCACCGGTGCGTGGGAGAGACAGAGAGGAAGGGGAAGGAGTTTGATCTTCGGTTGGAATCGGACACATGACTTTCCCTTCCCCCCCCCTCCAAAAAAACTACAGGGGAGGGTCACCTGCAAAGCGCGAATGCCGATAGTTGAGATTTAAAGACAGGAGTCGCAAAAGTCGGCGGCGTAGTAGGAGATAAAAATCCCATTTGTGCCATCTGCTTATTTTGATTCGCTGTAGAATTGCACAATAAACTCGCGTAGATTAGGAGATTCCCAGGAGTTTGGGGAGGAGGGGTATGTATCCGATCCCAACTCGACCGATATCACTTTTTTTCAGGAAGTCCGGGAAAACTAACGGAGGTAGACGGAGGAAAATATAAATCAAAAAAGTGCCAAATCAGAGGCTGAGTAGCAGGAAGCAGTATTGAACGTTGAATCTGATGAAGTACGCTTTCTACTCATACTTAAGACTTATTCACCGTAAGGAGTCCGGCAAGGATTATGCGGTAGGTAAAACCTGGATATAAAAATGCGATTTTTAATTGGTAGAATTCCCAAGCAACACAACAGTTATGAAAGTGTGGCGTCAGAAAACCACTCGCAGCCAAGTGAACTGCGAGGGGTAGAACGTAAATTAGTCCAACTATTGAATACAAGGGGAGAATGTCTAGATTTCAAGACAGTCCACATTGCAGCTATTAAGCCGCTAAAAATGACGATTTAATGCAAGCAGGAGATACGGGTGTAATTATTATCGAAGTAAATAGTTGGCGTGGGGACATAGTTCCCTTCAAGAGCTGGTCAGCAGACGTCGTCATTAAGTGTCCCAAATAAATAGAAGCGGAAATGCACTTTTAGCTTACCAGTCGCCAGCATAATTTACTAAAAATGTCCACGGCTGAGAAGAAGTGGTGGAGCACTTTGAAAGTACAACAGAAAGTCCGTTAAAACATGTCTGAACGAGTTAACAAAGGCAGCGACGACATTCTCCCCCCCCCCGGGGTATATTAAACGCAGCTTGCGCTGGCGTCTCTGATGATGTCTTC